TTACCATTTTTACACTCTTCTCAATTTTTAAGAAATACTCTTAATTAGAACATGTGATGCAAAGAATGTCTCAGTGCGAAAATTATAAAAAGAAAGCATCTAAAACTCCCATTTATGTATGAGTGGTTTTGCCCGTAATTATTCATGAAGTAACTTATTGTGCTTAGAATTTTCTTCAAGATAATTCTTGGTTGCACCACTGTAAACATACAAACGTTTCCCTTGTCTTTTCAATCCATAGCAAATAAAGTTTTAAATTTTGACTCAATTTACAGTATTTTGAAGATATTGCACCATATGCAAACCGTGAATGCAAATAAAATAATTGCAAACGGAAATATTTTGTGCAGACCTAAAGGGAACTTATTCATAAGAGTGATGCAATCTCGTTAGTCGTTAGTACAGGTAAGAAAATGGAAGCATAAAACAACACGAACAACAAAGTCTTTGATGATTTTTGAGGATCTAGTTGCTTTTAATCTTCCGGTAAATCTAGTAATGAACCTAAAGGGGTGCCAAAAAAGGAAAAGGAGCTGCGCAATATGCCTAATGTCTCTTTCTTGATTAGTGTCACAGCTGGGTAAAATTCATATTCATTGCATTTCTTTGCCAGCCATTGGATAGAAGATAACCTATATATGTGTTGCCATGAGAAGAATATAAGGACATTATAGAAAGATATTCGAGATCCCACTCAGTGCTGAGGCTTGAGGCTAAATATGTTTTGTTGATACGTTCAACATAGATTATAAACCAAAATTTACCAAATAAAGATTTCTTCAAAAAATGTGCCACCTGGGTATATAGCTCACATTACCAAAATGAACCAACAATCCAATTATGATCAGTTAACATTCATAAAATGAATTTAAATTTCAAAATCTATAATTTTTTTAACACTGCAATTAAATATAACTCACTCATATTAAAATTAATGAATTCATCCGATTTCCGAACAGGAAAAGATCAAAGCCATTAAAATAAACCGACACCAATAATTACTCACGTTGATACCGAGAATAACAGCACCCTCAGCGAGGAACAGAGTCATATGGCTAGTTAGATTGAATGGCGCAGTAAGCCAATAACCAGGCGGCACATCAAGCTGCCCGCCGCCCTTCTTCCCGAGCCTCGAGATGGCCCTCACCGCCCGCTCAAACGCCGCCGTATTGACAGTGACCCCATCACCCACAGCCCCAAAGTCCGTCAAGTTAAACGCCACAGGGCGAAGCTTTGGTATCGACCGGGACGGAAATGTCCTCCTGAAGAGTAAGAGTCCGCCGGTTGCGGCATCCCGCTGCCAGTAAAACAAAGTGAAGAAGAACGCAAACCAAAGGGCGATCAGGAAGGTCTTATGGGTAGATAAAAAATTGGTAATTGTGGAGATCCAACGGCGATGATTATGATTATGATTATGAATGACTGGGACCCACCATCTCCGCCACCAGCATGATGAACTCGATGTGGGTGTTAAGGTTTCCACCATATTTTCTTATTCTTTTCACTGCTAAGCCTTTTTGCTATTGACGTTGGGGTTTGGACTGGAGTATCAATAGGGTTAACACGATATGAGAATGCAAACAGAGTTTTCGATAAATCTGCGAGTTGGGAAATAGTTAGGTATTATTAGAGAATGGAGGGTGAAGCGTAGCAATCTGAATCAGTGAGAATTTGGGGAGATGACGATCCCAGATGAAGTGCATTGGAAGGGAAGTGAGATTTGAAGTTTGAACAGAGCGAGAGCGAGATAGAGATAGAGAGAGAGTCAACTGTGAATTTAAGAATTAGAAGACATTTTTGTTGCACCAGGGACCGGTTGCACCATGAAAACTTTGGTGCTACCCATAGTTCTTTACCAAGTTTTGCTTTGTGCCTTTGTCATAGAAGATAGAAGAACATAAATCTAGCCCCTGTTTGGTTTGACTAAAAATCTGCATTTTTTTTTTGGTACATTTTGATAAAAATTAATAAAATATATTGTTGAAATATTATATTTGATAAAAGTTAAGAATTTCATAAAATTTATAATTGAAAATGATTTTGAAAAAAACAAGTTTTAAAAAGTTTTTCTCTATTGTTTAACTCCACATTCTTCTAAAAATCACTATTCAAACCATCGTTTTCCCAAATAATTTTATCTATAAATATTTAGAGCATGTTTTATAGTTGATTTCTTTTAGAATAGTTTTTGTGAAAAGTGATTTTTTATTTTTTTTTCAAATTGTGTGATTAAAAAATATAAAAAATTACTTATAAATTTATTTTATTGAGAGAATGTTTGATTGAAAATGAGTTTGTGAAATAAATAAGTTTTAAAAAATCTCTTCCTAGTATGGAATTAATTTTATAATGCAGTGATGTAGTTTATTGAAGTTAAAATTGTTGCATTATCTTATCTAATAATGTTGTTTAATGAAGGTTGAATTGTTGTATCTTTATGTGTTTAAGGTAGGACTCTTTTTAACTTGTATAAATAAATACCTCGTTAAATGATTATAATAAGAATTAATCTATTTGTACAATTTGAATGATAAATTGGATGACGATATTACGTGTTGTCAAAAAATTAGTGGCTGCGGAAATAAATTGATGTGAAAATTGCAAAAATAAATTGATGTGAAAACTGTCAAATGAGTGAATGTCGCGTGACATATTGTCAATTATATTGTAAATCGTGATTGTATACCAAGCGCGATTCTCTTATTCCACAATCCACTATCACCCAAATCCACCTTCCCAACATCTGATTGATGCCATCTTCCCATCTTCCACCATTTTCCCCTTGATTTGATGTGCTATGAATGCAACTTCCCATGTTGCAATTACAGCCCCATAATTGCTCTTGCGGCTTGGAATTGGGGGTTGAAACTTCAAAGTGACGGCGTTAGAGGAGACAATTGGAACAAGCTGCAAATTAATACTGAATCGAGCGACCCAAGCAACGGACCTTCGCAGGGACCGCATCATGGATGGATTTCTCCGGGCAGCACAGCAGTGATAAGAGAAAGACTTCGGCTCCTAAGAGAATGCTTCGGACTTTTGGGGCATGGTCATTTTTTAAAAATTGATTTTGGGCATTTATAAAGGGCTCAATTTTCGATGAATTTTAGTAACGATTTTTCAAATAGTCAAATCGAAGTTTATTATTGAATTTTTTTTTTCAAAAGAATAAAATGACATTATGACCTTAAGTGAAATCTCAATTTATAAGTAATTTTTTAGTTAATATATTTTTATTTACACATTAATTTTGAAGAAAATATTGGGTTTAAAATAATTATTTTATATGAGGTGAAATTGGAAGAGAATTTGAGAAACGATCAAAACTCACAAGTTAGGAGTTGAGAAAGATATTCAAAATTACACTATATCGATTTTGGGCAATTTTTAAATTACCTAAAGTCGGTGCCGAAAAACTAACAAGCATTATTTTTTCAATATCTCATAAACGATGCAACCCAAAAATGGTCAAAATCGGTGAGAAAAACTCCTATGGAGGCCCTAAAGGTAAGGAAAAGAAAAGAAATTTGGAGCTCGGAAGTTATCGTTTTCGGTAGACAAGCTTACGAGCATTAGAGAAGATCTTCCTTCTAGTTGTTGAAATCCTAGTGATATTATACCCACGTGTGTTGAGTGTCCAATAGCTTAAGGGCTTCATGGTGAAAAATAATATGTTTCCTATGTTTGTTGTCATGTTCCTCGCCCTCAAATGATATAGAGAAGGGCTCGCGACTTGCGTATGGCTACCAAGTTCAACTTCAGAAAGTGGCTGAAGTAGATGTAAGCTTGTCATGCATCATGCGACGATTTCGAATTTTTTTTCGCTTACAATGATTGTTGTAAATTTTCTTTTCAATTCATCGGACTTTGCTATATATTTTATTGTTGTTTATTGTGCTTTCTTTGTGTACATTTATACTGGTTTAAATTGACAGTTGGTCAACATGCTGTGGTTTGTGAATCGAGGAAATTGCAAGAAATATCCACTCTCACATGGTCATTAGCAAAAATGACCAAAAAATTTTCAATGTTCATTTTGCAATAATTTAAACCAAAATACCCTTTTTAGCATTATTGAGGGTGTGTTTGAGCCACATTATTTTGGAAGAATGTATTTTAGAATAATAGATTGATGGAGAATGTGATTGAAAAAGAAGGAAAAGTTATTGATATGATAAAAAAATTATTTTATTAAAAAATATATGGTTGAAAATGAGTAGAATAATGAGAATTAAAATTTTAATATGACTTAAACAGGGGCTAAATTCCACACTAAAGAAAAGAAAATTATACAATTAGAAATTGTGTTGTCCAATAAAATTTTGACATATAACTTACACTACTTATTTCAAAAAGTACAAATGTCAATCCAAATTAAATGCATGGGTCGGGTCAGTTTAAAATTAAATATGGGTTGGGTCTGGTTCAAATCTCACTCGACCTCTCTTGCGACTTCAGATCCCCTTTTGAAACCCCAAAACAGCCTCAATCGAGAACATATTCAGGTTTCTTTGACAAGACACTGTGAGCAATTTTCATATATAAATGCACGTATACTTTTGGCATATATAATCATTGATTTTGATGACTTTTCCTCCCTTCGCATGTGCACTTGTGGGGGACGCTGTACCCTACTGCTTAAGAAGAATTGCAGCCATACTTTGTTGATTTAGTTCCGTGAGAAGATGCTGCAGATCCCGTTTTGGATAGTCTCGTTGTTCAATCAACTGAAATAAAAGATTGCCCACCAGAAGGTGAAGTGCTATGAGATTGCCTACTAGAAGGTGTGAATGTGGTAATGAAATGGAAACAACAATATTTTGTTTCAATAATTGCATGTCGTTCAGGTCTTATTTTGTATACAATTTGCGAATTGTCTTTCTTGACAGTTGAAATATCAGTTGTCGAGAATAACATGTATTTAATGTCGAGAATAACATTTCAAATGTTGAGAAATGTATAGAACTGACAAAACGGAATGAAATCTCACTTTAGATACATGGAATGTCAAGTGTTGTTATAAATAAGGTTCAAATGTCGATAACAACTTTTGAAATGATGAGAACAACATAAAATGTCAAGAACTAAATTGAATCAATTAGACCCCGTTTTGGATAGCCTCGTTGAAGTGTAGTTCTTGACATTTATAAAATGTCGAGAATGATATGTCAGCCAGATAATTCACCATTTGCATTTATCATCTTCTTCATCTTCTACAACCATTTTTGTAAGGAATTTATTCCACAATTAATGACATTGTCAATACATGACAACCATTGCAAATCCATCCATCCAAGTTATTTTAGTGGGTTATGACACAGTGCTTGAGAAAAACAAGACAATAAATATGAATTTGATTTAAAAATGCTCAAATAATCTTACAATAAATATCTAATAATTGTTTGACAAATGTCTCGTATCAAGCGGGTAAAAAAAGAATTGGTAATGCAAATTCCACCACTATATTATTGCTCCCATTCTATAAAATGAGTAACCAATTCATTCATTGCTCGCCCTAATTTATTTGAAATCTTGACATATTATTCTAATTAGGAAGAACAATCCATACAAAATTTTGCTATAACCCACCAAAAAAATTACAAAATGATGTTTAACTTTGATTTCAATAATACGCTTGAGCCGGACTTCGACAACGATTTTGATGCGGACTATTCATAGATATTCAAACAAGATATTTTAATTTGGCTCGATATTTGTCGCTTAACTATTGTGTCGTGTGACATTACTTTAGCCATTCTAGGCATAGAATTCGAAGATACCTTAGAGCTCAGAATGAACGCTCATTCATTCTCGAGAAGCTTTGGAAAGTAAGGACCATATATCATTATAGGAGATCTAAATGTATTACCATATGTCCGTTCATTTCATCCATACCTTCACGTGAATATGGCTAGCAAAATCATACTGATTTTGATATATATGAAACAAGTCCGTTTATGGTCGATCATCTTAGCGCACAACAAGGGCCATCGATAGATACAGCCTTTTTTTTTGGTCACTCATTGCAAATCATCAACCCTTATTTCAATACTATTTTATGAGTAGTGGTAAGATTTGGCACACAACTATTCAAACCTGAGCCCAACTACAATCACATTCTACCTCACTTTCGGTCCCATCCTGACAATCACCTCATTTTCTAGGTTAGTTGTAAATTATATTAGCAATATCACACAACCTAGCAACATAAATGATGAGGATCAAATAAATGATAAAAAGACCAAAAGATCTTAAAGTGTTAAGGTTGTGAATCCTCACAACAATTACAAAACCAGTGAAGACAATTTGAATAATCTAGAAGAGTTGGGGTCTACAAATTCAAAACAAAAGATAATCCAACAAGATGAGAACGACACAATCTTCAAAAATAATGTATTAAATCAAATTCAAATCCAGGTGCATTAATAAAATCAATCAAGTAATAGAGTACAACATAAGCGTAGAGTTATTAGTTTATTATTCGAT